GTTCAGAAATGAGGAAACTGAGTAACTTTCCACCCGGGACTCCGAATGTTGCACTTCGATGGATTAAGCTTGATATCATACCTTCTTAGGTTGGCAAAGGTTTCTACGAGGTCAGTCAGCAGGTCAGAACTCTTACGCGACTTGACCACAATGTCATCCATATATGCTTCCACATTCCGACTGATTTGAGTGAGCAGGCACTTCTGACTCATCCTCATGAATGTGGCACCGGCATTTTTGAGACCAAATGGCATGATGACATAGCAAAAACACCTGAATGGGGTGATGAAAGCCGTTTTTATTTCATCGGGTCCATACAGTCGGATCTGATGATACCCAGAATATGCGGCTAGAAAAGACAAGCGCTCACACCCCGCAATCGAGTCGACAATTTGATCGATGCGGGGGAGAGGGAAATGATCTTTCGGGCAGGCCCGATTGATATGCTTGAAATTGATGCACATACGAAGCGAATCGTCCTTCTTAGGGACCATGACCACATTGGCAAGCCACTCGGAGTGCTGGATTTCTCGGATGAACTCCGCTGCTAGGAGCCGAGCCACTTCCTCGCCAATTTCTTTTCTCTTCTGTACAGCGGACCGTCGAAGATGCTCTTTGACAGGTTTTGCCTTCGGATCGACTCTCAAATGGTGCTCAGCCAGTCCCCTGGGTACACCCGGCATGTCAGAAGGTTTCCATGCAAAGATGTCCCAGTTCTCACGGAGGAACTGGATGAGCGCTTCTTCCTATTTGCTACCGAGTGTTCTTGAGATATGAGTAGGTGCATCATTGGGATCAGTCGGGTGAATATGAATCGGCTTTGTTTCTCCAGACGACTGAAATGCAGAATCTGTGGCAGGCTTCTTGGCTCGCAACAAATCACTCGGATCTGCATTTTTCTGATACTCTTGGAATTCAACTTCTGCCATCTGTGCATCGGAAATTTTAGAGCCCTTTTGAAAGCATTCCTCTGCCTTCTGCCGACTGCCAGTGACTGTGATCACTCCTCTAGGGCCAGGCATCTTCAGCTTGAGGTACATGTAACATGGCCGAGCCATAAAACGTGCATAAGCAGGCCTACCCAGAATAGCATGATAAGCACTCTGGAAATCCACTACTTCAAATGTCAACTTCTCCTTGCGGTAATTCTTGGAATCACCGAAAACTATGTCAAGGGCGATCTGGCCGAGTTATTAGGCTTTCTTTCCAGGGATAACGCCATGAAAATTCATATTGCTTTCGCTAAGCTTGGACATCGGAATGCCCATCCCTTTTAAGGTTTCGGCATAAAGGATATTTAGGCTGCTACCACCATCCATTAGCACTTTGGCCAGTCGAGTGCCTTCAACAACTGGGTCGACCACCAATGCTTGCCTCCCAGGAGTGGCTATACGCGTCGGGTGATCAGACTGGTCGAATGTGATGGTTGTTTGTGACCATTTCAGGTATGTCGTCGTTGCCGGAGCAACCATATTTACTTCCCTGTTGATAACTTTCAATCGACTCTTGCTCTCAACATCAGCAAAAATCACCAGGATGGAATTGACCTTAGGATAACCATCATCTTCCTCATTGTCCTCGTCCTTGTCCGACTCCTTTTCCATTTCCCTGGGTTGTTTCTCTCGGAATTGCTGGATCAGGAGTCGGCATTGCCGAGTGGTGTGCTTAGGATAAATTAGATTACCCTCTTCATCCTTCTTCGTATGAATGTGACAAGGTAAATCCAACACATCATTTCCCGCTTGATCATTTACCTTCTTAGGGGTCCAGGGTCCCTTAGGTTTTCCTTTAAACTTTCCTTGAACTATTGCCGCAGTTTCACCAGGCGCTGCCAGTTCAGCCTTACGTTTCTATTTCCAATTGGAATTGCCTCCACCGGCGTCCTGGCCGCCTGGTTTACCCTTTCCACTGCGGAGTCGATCCTCTTCTTCTCCATTAGCGTACCGAGTGGCTATTTCCATCATCCGAGTCAGAGACGTATCCAGTCCGACCGAACTTCGGGACCAGCTCTTGATATTTAACGCCTTCCTTGAAGGCACACACTGCCTGGTGCTCAGATACATTTTCCACTGTGTGATGCAAAGTGGACCACCTCTGAATGTAATCCCTTAGAGTATCACTCGGTTTTTGCACGCAATGCTGCAATTCTGTTAATCCTACTGGTCGCTTGCAAGTACCCTCAAAAGTTCTGACGCATACTCGGGCAAGCTCCTCCCAACTGAATATACTACCAGGGGCTAACTGAGTCAACCACGCTCTGGCTGACCCTTCCAACATCAGAGGAAGATGCTCCATGTCCACTTCATCATTACCGCCACCGATCTGCACCGCCACTCGGTAATCCTCAAGCCAAGTGTCAGGCTTGTACTCTCCAGTGAACTTGCTGACTCTAGTCGCCAACCTGAATTTGGGAGGAATCGCTGCAGCCGTGATGGCTCTGCTGAAACATTCTAGACCCGAAACATGAACTCTCCTGCCAGTCGGACGATCTCTGTCAAGGCCCTCCCTGTGCACTCTGTTCTGGTCGATTAGACCTTGAACGAGAATAGATCTTGCATCAAAGCCTGGCTCCCTTGGGTCGACCGGTACTCTGTGCTCGCCACTGTGAGGGTGTCTGTCATCGTATTGTCGAGGCACATATGATCCACTCCTCGGAGGGGGTGTGGGCATTCGATGACGTTCATCACGGCCGAGTCGGTGATCATGCTGCCCATGGTTCATGTACTGATCATGCTGATGCCCAGGACCTTCACGCCGCAGGGGCGATCTTGGGCTGTGGGCCGATTGAACTGTATCCGCCATCACAGACCTGCTATGAATCCTATTCCGCGACTGGGACACTGTTGTGTTCTGTTCTCCTGCTGCCCTGAGTAAGGCCCGGATCTGCATCAAACCTCTGTCAGCCTATGACTTGGAAGGCTGAATTGATTCTGCTATACGGGCCGCAGCTGTGAGATTTTGAATCGGAGTGCGGTATACCTTAGGTTGAGGTGGAAAAAGCCGTCGTCGACTGGAGTCTGGGATCCGCTCCCGAGCACGCTTGTCGAGTGCATGCTGAAGGTTCTCTAGTCGAGTGCGCTCAGCCAAATTAGCCAGGCGCACCTCTTCCAAGGCCCGAGCCTCGAAGGTTTCCCCAACGATGGGCATGTGTAGTGCATCCATGTTGTGGCGACGATGTTCTTCTCTCTGCTGTGAAGAGAGTGGTTCGGGACGGTACTCCTCGTGAACGCGCGACGGATCGCCGCCACCATCGTCGCCGCCGTCGCGGCGGAAGCCAGGCGGACTACGTGGTCCGTCGACCATCAAGATTTCAGCCGCAGGGTCGCTGCTATCGCACTCGGATGCGGTCTCGACGGAGCCAGACGACGGGTCGAACAGGTCGTAGAGAGTTTCGTCGGGCTCGATTGCCGCGACTTGATGGGTGGCCAACTGACGAGCCACCGCATGTTTCACCCACCACTGAAGCCGCGACCGACCAGATCACTCGCGACGGCAAACAGTGGGGAGTGAGGACACCACGGGAGCCGACCGATATTGGGTCGACGGCTGCCGGAGAAGGACGCCGCGTACGCACGCGCGAAAGTGCGTCGCCCCACGGTTGGGGAGCGCCTCAATGTCAGGGGGGAGCTTCCTGGAGCCAGGCGGAGTCGTCGGCGACGAAGATGAGCGCCCCGAGACGGATCTCGCGGCCCTCAGCTAATCCACCGCCGGAAACCATGATGATAGGGATCGGGAAAATCGCAACTTCACCAAAAAATCGCTAAGACACCGGCCCCACGGTCGGCGCCAACTGTCGTGGTCCTAAGACTGACAGTAGAATGGGGGGTAGGTATGGAGAGGCAAGATCTCAGCTATGGTGAATTTGTACACACAGGATTTACGAGTTCAGGCCCTTCACAGTGGAAGTAAAAGCCCTACATCTCGGTGCCCGGAGGCGGTCAATTGGATTATATGCGTGTGGTGTTACAAGGGGTGCGAACCCCTGTCCCAGAGGAGGGGGTGGCTTATATAGAGTTCGCCAGGACCCCAGTCATCCCCCTTTACAAAGGGTTGAATGTACATAAAGATTGAGGCATTACTGGTAACGCCGGCCTTAAGTGTCTTTAATGACCTTAAAGACTACGGAGTGAATACTCACCCGTTGTTGTTCAGAGTGACTTCTGGTCTTCAGCCGGTCGAGTGGTTCCCTACATGGTCGAGTGGTTTCGGGAAGGAGGGGTATCCGAGTGGTTCGTTGGTCGAGTGGATTGCACTCGACATCTTGACTGGGTACCCCTTGTTGTCTCCTGAGCTTCTTTGCTTCTAGGGTAGTGACCTTGGGTAGGGTATATAGGTCAGGCTTGTGACCCTACCCTAGGTATGTATCCTCATCATCTAGTACTCCCAATACGAAAATAAACAGGAGCGGGATGAACGAGTTATACCCTCCGATGGGCCAGGCAGAAAACGTGGCGGCGGTGGAGGCAGCCGCGGCGTCCTCAGCGGCCTTCTTGTCGGCTTCAACTTTCTCGGCGGCGGCACGTTCGGCGGCGGTGGACATGGTGATGATAGGGGGACGCGGAAGTAGAGGAAGTAGAGGAACAGCGAGCAGTCGCATAGTCGCTTCCCAAAAACCTATTAGCCCCTCGATGCGATATGATTGTGGCGGCTAGAAAATAAGCGCGTAGGTGTGAGCTCGGCTTAGCCCATTCGCGCTGCACGGCGGAGGAGGAGTGCGCGAGGGCCTCTTCTATTTTCAAACTCCAATAGCATGTAGAAGAGAATCATTTATAAATAGGTCCAACTCATTCTCTACTAGCGGGGTGGGGATAAACTTCCAACTGCCCTAATGTCATATAACCCACATGGGCCCTTTATAGATTTTCTGACATTACTAGATGGGCCTAAAGGACGTCCCATATTTCAACATATATTATCCTCGTCCTATATATTTACACCTGCATATCGAGCTGTGATCACTCCATACAGTCAGCGGTCGATTCTTTGAAACTAAACTAGCTATGGACGCTAGCAGTGGTCGCCCTAGTGGAGCCGCTCTAAAAACCACCCGGCTACTCCCGATACGCACGCCAAGATCAGCAGTGGCCGAATGGACGACGACGCACTATTCCGCGGAGGAGGAGCTCTTGAACCCCACTGCAAGGCTCATGGAAGCTATATACATCGTCGTTACAGTCGGACTTGGCACGCCGGTAAACCTACCCGTCTTCAGCGCCGGCATCGCCGCCCAGCTTGCCCGTTACCCGCACTTCCACAGCATCCAAGTATATTGCACTCTTACCCTCTCTAATAACACTCTTCCAATTCTATCACTAGCTTAGTTTATTTAACCCGCGAGCGCGCGCGTAAATGATCGGCAGGTGACAGACGGATCAAAAGAGCCACGGTGGGTGCGCACGGCGGTGAACGTGGACAATCACATCATCGTCCCGACGCTGGATCCTGTCGCCGTGGTGGCCAACCCGGACCGGGCCCTGGAGGACTACGTGGCCTCGCTGCCCGCGCTCCCCATGGACTGCTCCCGCCCGCTCTGGGAGTTCCACTTCCTCGACTTCCCGACCTCAGAGGCCACCTCCACCGCGGTGATCCGCGTGCACCACTCTCTCGGTGACGGGATGTCGCTTATCACGATGCTCCTGGCGTCCGCGCGTAGTGCTGCCGACCCGACACGCCTGCCGGCCATGCCGAAGCCGCCGGCGCGCACGGGCGCCATCTACGAGCCGCGGCGCCGGCAGCAGTCGTCCGGGAGCGCCCTGGCGGCTTTCGTCACATGGATTTGGCCGTATCTTGTGCTCGCATGGAACACCATAGTGGACGTTGCCCTCTTTGCTGCGACGATTGTGTTCCTCAGAGACCCGCCCACGCTCTTCAGACGTGCGGGTGACCACGTCATGTCCAATCCCCACAGGCGCTTTGTACACCGGAGCCTTAGCTTGGGCGATGTCAAGTTGATCAAGAATGCCATGAACTGCGTAAGTATACTCAGCAGTATTCTTATCATGCGGCATACTTAGGGCCAGATGAAAATGGTCGTTGACTCCTTTAAAAAAAATCCTTTTAAAAATCATTGCGGGGTAAATTTTAGCAAACGTTCGTTCGGGGTGGCATTTGCGAAATGTTCATTGACATTTCCTTTTTTTTTTGGCGGCTATCATTGACCTTTCCATGTACTATCTGAAGTAACATTAATTTTATCTCTATATTTCCTTTGTTTTTTCTGTTTCCCGGAGACTATCAATGATGTGCTTGTCGGAGCGACTTCTGCAGCTCTGTCACGATATTACTTTCGCAATTCTGGTAAGTGATGTACCTCTGGCAACGAGGGGTGTATAGTTTCTCCCGCAGGTCGAGTTGTTGTATTTCTATATACTCTGTAACATATATCTTCAATTTATGTTAGGTTCCTCTAAGACCAACAAACTATGTTTGCGGTCTGTTCTCCCTGTCAATACAAGGCCAACCACTAGCCTACAAGTAAGTTTTCTAATAAAATAATAAGAAATTTTAAATGCATAACTTATTAATTTATAAGTACATTTCTGCACCAAATGGTTACTCCTTTGTTATGTAATTAACGTTTCAGACATCAGAATAAACATCGATGTTCGAGTTTGGTTATTAGTTTTCATACGAATATGTTGTTAAAAGAAAAATCAGGGTATTTATGAAAATATGTTCTCGACAAACTAATGATGTTATACATGTTCACTTGAATCTTTTTATGCAGGGGATATATGTTCACTTGACAAACCTAATATTTTCTGTGCATATTACTCCCTCTGCACTATTATAAGACATTTTGGATATTTCAATAGTGACTACATACGGATTGAAATGAACACGCACACACTAAACATGTCTATATACATCCAATTTAGAAAAAAAAGTTAGAATATCTTATAATAGTGAACGGAGGAAGCACTAATTAATATGAGAGTAGCTAGTTTGATTCCACGCTTTCTGACGCGATCGTTTCCAGATGTAGGTTAAGTCAACGGATTACAATTTTGTAACATATCATTATTTTTGGTCTAATAGTTCCTTACAAATATGCACAGACGTATGTTCATATGATAGAATCAGGTAAGAGTGACGATGTGGCATGGGGAAATCAACTAGGCTACATCCTCCTTCCATTTCATTTAACGATGCACGATGATCCGCTTGCATATGTTCGCAAGGGGAAGAAGACAATTGATAGGAAAAAGAGGTCACTTGAAGTTATCTTCACGCATAAGATGAATGAATTGTTTGTCAAAATGTTTGGCATGAAGGTATATTAGGTGCATCTTTGTACTTATATGTTTTATTTTCTGAAATTAAATTAGAAAAAAGTAAGCACCTCCTTGTTTAACAACCTGATTATGCTCTTACCTAGTTAGAGTCTATATTTTCAACTTGACAAGCAGGCGGGCACTTCTATCTTCCAACGTATGTTCGCCAATACAACTATTTTATTCTCAAATATGGTTGGACCAACTGAACAAATCGAGTTATGTGGCCACCCAATTGTCTTCATTGCACCTAGTGTCTATGGAGGCCCACAAGTAAGTCATCAACGATCTTACATCGAAACCTTCAATCTTAAGCAACATATGTGCTTTCGTCAACCCGCATCATCTACCACAATCCACAATGCAAGGGCATTGTCATCATGCGTTGCTTTCACGAATAAATCCACTTTAGCTTGTCTTAACTATCAAAACTGCTCGGGTAAGCTACTTTGGTTTCTGGAAGATAATAAAACGAGAATAGGAAGTAATATCAATAACCACATGCCTATATTTCCACTCTGCTAATGTATAGCTCTATCTGAAATGATGTTGTTCCTCGGAGGAAATACAATATACAGTTTAAAGTGTACTCAAACAAGTTGAGGTGTACTCTAGCACTGCTCGCGAGTGCAGTTTTTAGAATAGCGAGGATAGGTATGAGCATTTGTGTAGTTGTATTTCCTCTCCTTTTTAGTGTGAACTTGAATCCAGGACTCAAACTGGTTAGAAGCAATGTTAGATATCTCTCTATATATAGTTGATCACTAGATGGTCCACGGTTAAAGAGATGACTTGACCTTGGATGGGCATACACTTTTCCAACCAAAGTAACCTCAACTCCTTGGAACAATACAAGTAAAATGAATCGCAGACAATAAAATAGAATTAAAGTAAACCTTTTTAAACCATCTCCACACCCTATTTTTTATTTAATCACCTAGATCTATTTTGCAGGCTTTGGTGGTGCACTACCAGAGTTACATTAGCACTATTAAGGTAATTTTGGCAGTCGACGATGACGTAATTCCAGATTATACTCAACTCTTGGATGATTTCACTGAATCCTTCGGGCACATTAAGGATGCAGCGTCGAAGCTTTCCACATCCATCATCAACAGAGAGTAATCAGCACACAACTTCATCGGTGTGTGATGCTTTCTAAAACTGTGTAATGCTAGCAATATACTCCTATATATTATGTGTGTGCATCACAAGTCACAACATGGTAATTTAAAACCAGGAACTCAAACAAAATAAGACTACAGATCAAATGTATTCATTACATTGTTATTATGTTGGAAAATGATGTATCGGGAGGGATATTTGTGAAGTATAACTCTGTGCTAGGATTGTGATACTCTATTATACTCCTACGATATTGCGCTTATGTCTATGTAACATTCTTTTGTCCATTAACTCTACAATTAATACTCGGCCACTTTGTTTCTCTTTGATTAATAAAATCCAAAATTATCGATCCCAAGGGGTATAGATCCATAGTAATATCGTACTTATTACCCGCCAAGGAACACCAAAAGTGCCAATTTTCGAAGATGAAATGTGTAATGTTTTTCTCCTGGAGAATCCAACTATTATGAGTGGAATGAGTAGGGTGAGCTTTAGATGAGTTGGTCAATTAATGGGAAATCTTATAAACCACCTATTTTCTATCGTTTTTATTCCTCGATGGATATTACACTACTCCTAACAAAAGCACCACTTCTGTGAAAGTAAAATGAACACAGACGCACATATATTATGGATCATGTGGTCGAGGATTAAAGTTGGACCACTGCTAAGTAACTTATTAACCAATCGCTCTCTCTATCATTAATTCCATGATTAAGCCCTCATCCCAAAAAATCACCAAGAAACTTTGCTCTGGCATTGCTCCACGGCCCGCTTCTGGCTGGTTTGCTATTCCTAGCCATGCCTATGCACTCAAGCACTTGCCTCGATCCCCCGCGCCCGATGTTTCTCCTCCATCACCGGTCATTACAATGGTAAACCTCATAAGTTGTGGCTCTACACTCAACTCCTAACCTAAGGGATCCCATGATCGTGCACCTCGCCCTACATGCCTCCTAAGGTGAAAGTTTCACCTTCTCTCGTGTCCATGATAAATGAGAAAGGCGTATACTTTACCATCTTTTTGCTTGCCTCTGAATATTGGTTATTGAGGGGACTTCATCCTCATCACCCTTGATTCCCATTCTTCAAAAGCAGTCATCCCCAACATAAGTCTCCCACCTTGGTATGTGAGTAGGTTGGTGACATGGAGCTTCAACCAAGGTGCTTGCGACTGGAGGCGAATGTGGCTCGATCGCCAGGGTCAGCATGAGCAACGGCATCATGACATGTGACTTTCTCATGGTCGACAACAATAATGATGATGTGCTTTGCTACATCCCGCTACCGCAATCAGCAAACCTAAAGCACAAGACCTGGTTGTCGGACGTTCGAGAGTGGGACATCATCGTTGTCCAAGGCCACATTAAGTTTTTTGAGATGCAATTCAAGTTCAAGGGTCGCGCCATCACTAGAACCCTCAACTTATTTACCAAATTTTGAAAAGCCACATCATGTGGGAAGGCGGATCCCTAGAAGAATTGGTGAGAGGCATGCAAACTCAAAAATTTCAAGATGCCTGATCACCTTGGAACTGGTTTCGGGTATAGATATTATCTTCTTCCCTGAGACCCTAGGGTTTGTCGATTCCACAAAGTGAATTAAACTTGGCAAGGACATATCTGCAAGTCTTTGTTATCTCAAATCATTCTAGTTTCCTGGTCCAACAATTATCGAAGAGGTTGCAACAACATAAAATAGACCAGAGCTAATGTTTCACTGTGGTGAACGTGGAAGACCACACGATCATCCCGACTCTGGACCCCATGGTCGTGGCGGCAAGTCACTTCATAAGTGTAGCAATCGAGTAGCTAGCGAGCTCGCCATTCCGAAAACCACTCACCAATTCAGCCGCCATCGGCGATAGCGGTATCAATGGCAGCCCCTCAGTGGCCGCTGCACCGACAAGCCCGCTACTCCCGATACGCGCACCAAGAAAGGCACCGTCGGATGATCCCATGGCGAAAGGGGAGCCCGTCACCCCTACTACGAGACTCATGGAACCCATATACATCACCGTCACCCTCGGCCTTGGCTGCCCCGTAAACATCCCCGTCTTCAGCGCCGGCATCGCCGCCCAGCTCGCCCGATACCCGCGCTTCTACAACATTCAGGTATTTATACTCTTAGTCTCTTAGTAGTACTTCAGCATTGCGATCCAATCAGAATTTATTTTCTATTTTAGTGCTAATTTGATCTATTTTTGTTCTACTTTTGTGGCAGGTGACATCTGCTTCCAATGGTTGCAACTCGCGGTGGGTGCGCACCGTGGTGAACGTGGAGGACCACACGATCATACCGACACTGGACCTCGTCGCTGTGGCAGCCGGCCCAGACAGGGCCGTGGAACACTACAAGGCCTCCGCTCCCCGCGCTCCCCATGGA